ACAAAATGTGATGTCCAAAGCGACTGAACACCTAACCAAGATATAGAAGATCGAGGTAGGCGACAGAAGACAATATGGACAATCACGGGGTATCAACATCGGTCAATGCGAACTCCTGACAAAGCGTGAGGGTTCTATTGCAGAACCCTTCCCCACTTGAAGACTCTATATACAAGAGTAGGCACAACTCTGAAGCATCATGGTGCGTCACGAGCTAAGGATGACACATACAAAATTGTGGGGGTTGATTGCAAACCCTCCCCGCTCGCCTCCTTTTAAGGACTTCAATAAGGGATGGTGGAATAATGTGGGCCCAAATATAAACACACCTGCAGTATACCTACTTGTGATCGGTGGAAATAGAACTTACTGTTTAAAGCTGGTTCGCAAAATGTCGCGGTAAGCAAGAGTCGCCACCGTCTTTTATGTTCTCCAACATGGAAAGGACAAAAGCACAACAAAATTCCTTCTTTGAGATGTCTCTCGGTTCGGGAGGTAGATTTATAGAAAGGGAAGGTGTTAGCACCCTTTCTATCCATGGTTATCCATGGGCTCTTAGGTACTTGCTCTTATGTTTTCAAAAATTGTTTGCTTTTCAAGTGTGTGTGTGGGTTTTGAAAAAAGTTTCGTTTGAAAAATTTCTATGTAACTCTTGTATCTGTCCTCAAGAGTGTATGAAATGTTTTGTTTGAAAACTTTTTGAAAGTGTAAGTGTGAAAAGATGTTTGTTTGTTTGAAAAGAGCAAGTACCCATGAGAATCTACCTACTCTAAGGAATTAGGCTGTGTAAGAGTCCTTTAGATAGTGCTATCCCACTATTGAGAAGTAGGTAGCACCGTCGTTGGAGGTATTCGGGTCAATTCGATTAAAGGGACATGTGGTCACCAAAGCAATAGTAGGACACCTTAGAAGTAACCCTAATGTCCTAGATCCTTTTTTATCCGAGGCAACCGTTTCGAGGCAACTGGATCTTAGACAGGAGGGCGACCTCTAAAACACCTTATACTTGACAACCACGTTCGAGGAAACGAGTGAGGCGTACCCTAGGAGTGGCATGTGCATGTGTGTTGTTTTTCAGTTTAATTGTCTTTGAACATGCATTTGTGAGCTATGGGTTGATTTTATTATTCATACAAGTCTTTCATGCATTTTTAACAGTTAAGAGTGCGGAAAATAAAGTGCGGAAATATGAATCTACGCTATTACAAGGCGCGGGTCTATACATCACCAAAAACAAAAACCCGTTTTGAAATAAAGTGCAGAAAGTAAAGAAAGCGGTAAATCCTAATTACTATTACATGCTTTGAGCAGATACATAATAATCAAAAATAAGAATTAAAATGCGAAAGAAAATTAAATCGGGACGTCCTTAGGGTTTTGACCCTTTTTTAGAAAAGAAAGTGAAGTTGGTCCTTTTTTGTAATTAAATGAAATATTAAACCTAGTACTAATTAATTATTTAATTAAAAGGAAAAAAATGTTTTTTGTGTTTTTTTAAGTTTTAATAAACTAAAGGAATTAAAAAGTTAGTAAACAAAACCCTAATTCTAAGCTAATTTTATTTATTGTGAAAAAGGTTAAAATTAAACCTAAATTAAACTAAGTTGATTAATTAGAATTTATTTACAAAATAAATTAATAAATAAAAATAGTAATAATTAATAAAAATATTCACATTTTTTATTCTCTGAATTTATTAAAAAATATTAATTTGTTAGTTAATTAAATAATAATAATTATTATTAAAGAAAATAAAAGGAAACAAAAAGAAAATAAAAAAAGATAGTAAACCAGGGGGGGGGGGGTTGATGGCCCAATGTGGAGGTTTGATTTAGAAATTCTGGCCCAATAGCACAAGCCTTGTTGACTTCTGGAATTGCCTGTGCTTGCTTTGACTTGGAGCGTGGTGTGGATCACCCTTTAGCCTTTGGATCTGCCTTTTGAGACACTTGGCAAGCTGAGCGCTGGAGTCCATGGTGGGATATTTAGAGAATGCATGCATATGATTATATTGGAAAAATATGAACAAGGAATTTGGGGGACTTGGGAATCGAACCCAGGTCCCAATGATGAACGTCCAGCGCACCAACCATTACTCCACTCGCATGCATTTGTTAATATGATGGATAGTGAAAATAATATATAAAAAACATCAATTATGCTTGGAAATTAAAAAAGGCGCGCATTTGTTTGAATGCTCCAACCATATGCTTCCAGCACATCATCTTCTTCGTTGGCCTGTAAGAAAGAACAAACAAATAGCGGGGGTTTTTAACCCCCACAAACTGCAAAATGCAAAAATAACGATTAGATGTACGCGTTATATAAATAGGGCGCGAGGGTTGCAATGTCTTCGTCTCATTCAGACGGTTTCAACCATGTGCGTTTTGAGGTCTAATTTTGCTTATGCTGTAAAGCCCTCAATTGGAAGCTTTGAAACCCTAGAATTCGTCCATGGTAGTTCACGTTTTAGGGCACCATAATACAATTAACCTATATCATCAGCTTCAGAAAGGTCATAGCAATGCAAAGCAACAATTATATCATGTTAATGATGCATAAAACTTGAGTTTTGATTCTAGAAAAATTAAGCAAACCGTGTGACTGAAGCGAGTGATTCTTTGAGTGTTAAGGCTTGGTTTCGATTGCAAATTGTTTCTGAGTATGCTAGCAACGTGTTTGAATCAAGAAAAGGCCTTGAATTGTGCTGGAAGGCTGATTTCAGTTTTCAACTTTTTCTTGATTTTTTGGAATTTGGTTATGGTGTTTTGCAGCAGCTTGCACGTCCAAGGCTTTAGGGTTTGCTTCAGTACATATAGTGGAAGGGAATTAGGGTACAAACTAGGTCAAAGATCCATGGAATAATGTTTTGCATCTTTGATTTCCAATCAAATATTTTTCAATATTTTTTGATTGAAAAACCTTGCCAAAATTGGATATTTTTTCCTCTTTGATGGATGCACGAAATTTCCAGCTTGCCCTGATCTTATTTGCTTCACAAAAGATTTGAAAAACATATCTTGGCATTTTCCTACAATTAAATTAATTAAATGAATTATTAATCAATTAAAAATCCAAATAATTAATAAAAATAAGAAAATAATTCAAATTAATCTCAATGGGTCGTGCATAAGCCTTGGGTAAAGATTCAAGAAGGAATTTGGGGCCCATTAGCAAAAATGAAGTGTTTTGGGCAAAGTTGTCTTTTGCAAATTCCCAAAAATTTCCCAACTTCTCAAATGCATATCTTGCTCAATTTTGATCATATGAACATGTTCTTGGACATTTTGGAAAGATCTTGAAGTCCTCTAACCAATTCCTTTAGTCCCATGTCATTTTGATTTACCAATCTCAAGTTATGGTCTTTGACTTAAAGTGCCTTTTTGTTGACTTTTGAAATTGACCTATAATGTAGAAATTGATAACTTTTTGTGAGAGCATTTCTTGGACTTGGAGTGTGAAGATGAGTTGTAGGAAATGTCATCCCCTTCAAAATGAGCATTGGATGGAATTTTTATAATGAACCATGAAAAAGTTATGCCCTGGTCAAGTTACAGTTGACTTTTCAGCTGTCCAAAAATAGAAACTTTTGGCATCTTGATGATTTTTGAGCCATGCTTGTGGAATCATGATCAAGACTTGATCAAATGATGATTGTGGCTTCAAAATAATATGTTGACCAAAATTTTTGACTTTTGACTTCCAAATGACCATTTTACCCCTACAGTTGATTGTGAACCAAATAGGGCTTTTGACTGTACAACTTGGTGCTGTGAGACTTGCAACTTGGCATGTAGATGCTTGACAATGTATATGGGCCTATGGGACTTGATTGGACCCTTGAAAACCTCACCTTCTTTGCAAGAACCAAAACCCTAATTTTGACTGGCTTAGGAGGCAATTGGACTGTGCAACCCTTGAGGGATGTTGAATCATTTGAAGATTGATCTTGAAAAATCTTGAAGAATATGGGAGGGCAAATTTTGGGGTACAACACTACTCAAAGGCAAGGTTTTAAACAAACCATACACAAGTAGCAAACAAAATGCACACAATGCGTAATTGCCCTAAACGGGTCTTTAAATAAACCAAAGGGGTTCCTTACATGATCAGCAACAGAGACCCCTATCATACATCTCTATTATAATTCTCATGGCATCATAAAGCAGTAAAGTCCTACTTCTCATGATATCTAGAAAAGCAGTAAAGAAATGCGATAAAATGCGGAAGTGAGGAATAAAATTAAATTGTGATGATACCGAATGGAGAAGGTTCGTTACCTCTTCATAATCACATAATCAATAATAAAATTATACATAAGCTGCTTCACACGAGTGATCAAAGAATTAGTCTCCAAGCATTCCATATCGTAGAAGATTTGCCTCAATATTGTCACAAACTCTCAACAAAAATGACAACCAAATGATTACCAAACATAAAAATGATAATAAAACTCTAATCAAAATTCAAAAAAAAATTCCAAAGAGTTATATTAACATCTTTTTATTGTTTTATCATGTATTTCTACTACAAAATTATGAAAAAGAAAGTAAAAAAACTAAAAGGTGATGAAGAGAAGATTAAGAGGGCCAGGGGGTGCAAACCACAGACAGTAAGTATGCTGCAGCAAAATCCTAAAGCTAGATTCTAAGACCCAACAAATCTAGATCCACCAAGAATTTCTTTTGCTAGTCAGATTTCAAGCATTCCAAAAAATACATGGGATTACAACAATTCAAGAGGGCCTAGGGGAATATTACCATAGAGAAGAGCTAGGGTTAAATTTATTGTGGCCCTTCATTTTCTTCGTGAAGCACAAACTCTTTCTTTCCCCTTCTCTTTACAGCGGCGTTATCTCTCTGCTCACCCTCACCGCCTTCGCTTCCTCTTCAACCTTAACGCCAGCGTGACGACATCAAGGACACCGCCTCCGTCTCGCACCTCAATCCCCTCCATCCCTATTTTCTTTAACTTCTTCTTTTTCTCGGTCATTCATCACAATGACGACACCATGGCACTACCGTTCCATGCTTCGAAGCTCCATCCCATTCTCCCTTGTCCTCGACTCAAACTCAGCAGAAAACAAAATTGCATACAAAATGAAACACGTACCGATCGGGGTACCACCGATGGTTCTTCGAAATGATAAAGACGATAAGAAAATCAGAGGACCTTCTTCTTTGGGAAATCCAGATGAATCAATCCAGGTACGTTTGATTTCACGTTTCCGCTTTCTTCCTATACTTTTTCTGATTCTGATTGTTTCGTATCGGATGGGATCACGTTTATTTTTGACGTTGCAGAGTAGTGAGGAATAGATGAAGACGACCTTGATGTGAGGTGATAAATAACCTTCCGAAGATGAAGTACTGCACAGAGGTACAGATAAAGGTATTAAGCTGCCGCTGTGATGAAGTTGTAGAAAATTGATGACGGATTTGCAGAAATTTAACTCAGTTATCGTGATGGAGAAATGAAGAAAGATCCAGAAAGGTTGCAGGGATGAAGAGCTAGGAATTTTTTTGCGTTGCAGGAATCTTGATGAGGTTCTGAGAGAGAGGTTGAAAGGTGAGTTTTCTGGTTTTCACTGTGAATCTTTCGGTTATTCTGTAACTGAATTTCTCTCCTTCTTCTCTTATGAATTCTGCTAGCTCCTTTTTTGAAGTTTGTTAGAAAGATAGTTAGAAATGTTAGAGAGTTGTTAGAAGATATTCTCTTTTTGTCTGTTTGCATTGTTGTTATGTGGTTATGACAGTTAGGAGTTTAGAAGATATTAGGGAGTTAGTTGGGAATTCTATTCTGTTAGGAGTTTCTATTTTTTTTGTTATTGAGAATTTTATGTTAGATGCAATTAGAGGTTATTAGGAGATGTTAGGAAAATATTTAGTTAGAGCTATTAGTTTAATTCAGTTGGAAAGTTGGGAAGTTAAAGGGAGTAGTTGGTGCGAAGGTTATGGGTTAGTTTGTTAACTATCACAATTATTTCTGTTTTTGAAACCACTGGGGCTGTTAGGTGGTTATAATATGGTTAGGGGATTAGTTTTGGATTCTGTTGGTTTTCTGTTACGGGGTTGGTTATTTCTGTTAAGAAATAGGTGGAAAATTAGTTAGGTTACTGTTTTCATTTGGTGTGCTGGATTTTAACTAAACATGTTTAGTATTGGCTCCAATCAGATATTATGCAGGTTTGTGAATTAGTACTAAAGGTTGGTGATTACAATTAGGTGTTAAGTGGTGAATAGGTTGGAGTACTCATGTATTGCATTATGCTGGCTTGAATGGTTTGGATTGGAATATGTGCAGGTTTCAAAGTAAAATTGGCAAAGGTTTTATGAATGTGCAGGACTACTCGCCACTTTTGTATTAATGCAGGGCAATGCATCTGTTTATTTATGCAGGTTGTTTATTTGGTGCAACAAGTTTTGTGACTGATTGGAATTTGGCGATCGAATTTGTACATGGCTGTCTTAACATGATTCAATTATCTCTTGGAGCTTCGGGAAAACTTTTGAAGGGAGCAAGAGAAGGTTAAATCATGAAGATGAACGAAACAACTTGAATACTTAAAGAATAGGTTTATGATTAGGCTTACAACCAAATATTTTGTGTAATTGTGAATGTAATTGGATGTAACTTAGATGTTGTATGTATTTGAAATTTAGCTTTGTGATCTGAACTTGAATGATCTACCATTCTTTGAAATGTTGTTTTTTATAATGAAGCCTTTGATTTCAAATTTGAATTACTTTCCCACCATTATGCTTGTAACTTTAATGAAACAATCATAAATTTAAATGGAACTTCGGCCAAAAGTTAACTTTTCCAAATTTACGTTGAACTTTATCATGGGGCGCCTCACTTCAAACTTGAATTCAATTTTATATCTCATAAAGAATTGAATCTGAATCCATTTATATGTCATGCTTAGATTTGAATAATGGGAGATGAGTTAAGTGACCTTGAAGATGGCAACTTGAAATATGTGAATCTTTCAATATTATCTTGAATCAACCATTGATAAATCATGAAATTGAGATCTTGAACCAATATTAATCTTGAGAACAATTAGAAGTTTCAATGCATCCAAATTGGCATCTCATTTCTCTTGAAATCCTAGTTAACTTTTAATTTAAGCAACAAGTGTTTGAAAGAATGATGACGTTTTAAACTCAATGAACTCACAACTTCATCTTATGTACCATGGCTTTGATTTTTCAATCCAATCCATACTATATCTTGACTTTATGGATAACAACAATGCATTGAGGGCGCCTTGAAGTATAGAAATAAATGTAATACGAAGCTCAATGAACCTCAGTCGATAGATATTACAAATTCACACATAGAAGATGTGGCACCCTAATCCATTTGTGTTTTATGAATTCTTGATGGAGGATGACGTTGTAGCTTGATGAAGAAAAGATTTGCAACATCCATGAACATAAAATCTTAATTCCACAATTTCACTGTCTTGAAAAATAACCAGAAGAATCAAGCTTTATTGAACATATACACCTCAGTTAGTTGATAAAACCCTAACCCTGTTCATGAACATTTATGCCATGCTAAATTTATTGATGAATGATGCATGAGGCGTTAGCTGCCCAAATGAAGGTTATATACATGAGAAAAATGTGAGATGCATAAGGAAGATAAAAGTGAAAGGGTAGGACAAATTTAGGGTATTACAGCTCCCCCTGTTTAATCGTCTTAAACCTGAAAGTATGATTGGTGCGTGCCTTTCGGAAGTTCGAGGTAGAAGATGATTAAATACCAATGTCAAAAATTTGTTTTGAAAGATAGTGGTAATGAGTATTATTTTTGCAACATACGTTGGGGAATTTAAAAGAGGTGGGACTAAACTAGAGGTATACGTCGATCAGGATACGACAACATCAGAGTACATCGATCAGGACACGATGATTGAGAGGGAAACATCGATCATGACACGATGATTCGCAAGAGAGTATCGATCAGGACACAATGATTGAAAGGTATACATTGATCAGGACATGATGTCTGAGAGGGAAACACTGATCAGGACACGATGATTTATAGGAGGGGTATCGACCAGGACACGATAACCAAAAAAGGATATCGATCAGAACACGACGAGTGTTTAGAAATTGACACAACGAGTGTTTAGAAGTTGACACGACGAGTGTTTAGAAGCTGACATGATGAGTGTTTAGAAGCTGGCACGATGAGTGTTCGAAGGTAGCATGATGTAAACACAGGGACATAGAAGACTTGTAACATGGCGTGATTCCAATACAAGGAAGATATCGAGCTTGTAACGTAGCATGATGCCAATACAAGGAAGACATTAGAATTGTAATGTAGCATGATGCCAATACTAGGAAGAGATCGAGCTTGCAACGTAGCATGATGCTAATATAAGGAAGAGATCGTACTTGTAACATAACATGATGCCAATACATGGAAGAGATCGGACTTGTAACGTAGCATGATGTCAATACAAGGAAGAGATCAGACTTGTAACGTAGTATAATGCCAATACAAGGAAGAAATTGGACTTGTAACATAACATGATGCCAATAAAAGGAAGAGATAAGACTTGTAACATAGCGTGATGCCAATACAAGGAAGGGATATGACTTGTAACGTAGCATGATGCAAATATAAGGAAGGTATCAAACTTATAACATAGCGTGATGCCAATACAAGGAAGAGATCAGACTTGTAACATAGCATGATGCCAATACAAGGAAGAGATCATACTTGTAACATAGCATGATGCCAATATAAGGAAGAGATAAAACTTGTAACGTAGCGTAATGCCAATACAAGGAAGGGATCTGACTTGTAATGTAGCATGATACAAATACAAGGAAGGTATCGAACTTATAACATAGCGTGATGCCAATACAAGGAAGAGATCAGACTTGTAACCTAGCATGATGCTAATACAAGGAAGAGATCATACTTGTAACGTAGCATGATGCCAATACAAGGAAGAGATCGGACTTGTAACGTAGCGTGATGCTAATACAAGGAAGAGATCAGACTTGTAACATAGTGTGATGCCAATACAAGGAAGAGATCAGACTTGTAACATAGCGTGAAGCCAATACAAGGAAAGTATGACACAGAAGAGTGTTTGAAGCGATATGGATGAGTATCAAAAGAAGATTCAGATGAGTATCAAGAAAGGTTAAACACATACGAGTGTTCGCATCAATACAGATGAGTATCGAAAGAAGATAAGGGCGAGTATCAAGGATAGGTTTAAACATGAACAAGTGTTTGAGGAACTGACACAGATGAATGTTTATGAGTTGACACAGAGGAGTGTTTGGAGACTGGATTATTTGTCAGACGGGGACTGGCTACCAAACGAGAATTGGGTTTAGGATTACAAGGTATATTGACTTTGCTGGGAATTCAAGGTACAAGTCACCAGTAGGGGATTTTGGAAGCGATATCCTCTTGAGGGGACGTACCGTTGTCCTTGAATGATCAGGTCTTTCATGTAAGGAACCAAATGTGGCTTATGCTTCGTATGCATGTTTAAATTTATTTTTCCGCAAAAATCCATTCTGATGGATCGGCTACGCGCTTTTGAGGATGCAATGTTATGTACTGATAATTATATGCAAATGAAAAGAAATAGACTTCATGGGGATAAGCGAAGGCTCATTAGAAAGTGTTGTTCATCACTAGGGATGTCAATACATATCGCCTCTGGAAGCCTATAGTACCAAGAATTGATGAGGATAGTGATAAAAATTTGCATAGGGAAGCTTGTGATACTGAAGATTATCGATGACTCCACTAGAGATTGGGTTGCTGACGAAGTGAATTTTCAGGTACACCACTAAATTCTGAATTGTGTTTTTGGAGAAGAGATAATCTGGCCTGACTTTCCTACACCCTGAACCGTTGAGAGGATGGTAGAACTGAATATGCCGAGGAAGGGGTATTAAACACCATGTGGATCACTTCGAGTACATGCCCCGAGTTTACACCACATTGGGGAATTATCACTTGGGATGAAAGATGAGCATGAACACCTGCGAATTCCTCGGTTTAGCTCTGTGAGTTCCCCAATTTAGCTCCATTGGGGATGCACTTGATTAACTCCACGAATGCCCCGGTTTAGCTCTTGGGGAATGTGTACTTGCACATGCCAGTCAAACGACGACTTTGAATTTTATGAATTCACTTGGGGGATCACGTTTGAAGTTGTCTATAGCAGATGAAGGAGGCTTCATGCGTTGGATAGGTCGAGGTGACAGTTATGAAACTTTTAGCTTACTTATAGTCATATTGTAAAACATAATTGGCTTGAAAAACTTTGCGAGTACGGATAGGGAATGCCCCTATCTGTGGGATTTCTGAAAGAATCTGTGTTGCATAGAAGACCAGAATATTTGTGCCGCAATAAGATATGAGGTGGACTGCCCCAATATTTTGAGTCACAAAATAAACTGCTATTGATTATAGCTTTCTTGGAGAGATTTGTCGAATCTCGACGTAACTGCCCAGGTTGAATGGATTCTGATTAGATTTCTCGACGTAATTTCCCCAAGATGATTGACAAAAGATTTTTAGAGATTTATCGTCATGATAGCCTCTGATTATTATTAGCTTGAAGAGATTTATCAACGTGATAGCATCTGATTGATAGGTTTAAGGGAATGCCCAAGATTTGGCTGACCTCGGAGAGATCAAATCTCGACTTGATGCCCCAGATTGTCGGAATCTGCTAACTTCATCCCTAAAGGGTACTCAGACTGTGAGGCACCAAGGGGAATCACTAGTTAACATGCCTCTGGATAAGTCATTTCTCTTGTGGAAACTTACTCTTCCTTCAATAGGGTATTCAAGCCTCTCTTCTCTAACAAGATTGAGCTCTTTACCGATTGTTCATTATGTAAACTTACTTGATGTCAATCAGATGTTTTGTATGCAGAAGATTATTTTATTATGAGAATGAATATTCTAATGCAACACATATGTAAGTCTTGAAGTTTGAAAAACATTAAGTGAAATGATGTCAAAACTTTGTCGTGAACAAGTCACTAGCTATAGAGCAACATTTGCAAATGCTTTTTTTTATGAAAAATAATGCAATCATATGATGCCAACACGTATATTTAAGCATACCTCTTAGGAGTCAGTTAAATGCTATCTCGTTGTATCACGCTTTTGAATTGACCCGTACTTCAGCTAGGACTTTGAAAGGGTTGTAACGTAGCCTGGTTCACAGTTTTAGAAAAAAGGATTTAAGGCTCAAAATTATTTGGTGCCCACCCATTCTCCATGATGTTCTCCATTCCTACATTCAGTTGACCCGGTACAAGCATTCATCTCTCGAGAAGATTTTGCGATGATTAAGGAACCACTACAGTTTCTTGTACACGACAGTCACAAACTTCTAATTTTGGTGTCTGGTCACACGATCTTGTTCGTTCGTGAGGATTTTTATTGGTAATCCTTTTATCACCTTTAAGGCTTTTCATCTTCTTTCTTGCAGTCCCTAACTTTTTCCTAGACAAATTCTTTTGA